GTTTCTAACTGCGTCGTTCTCCTGGTTGTAAGTGACAATTGTCAGCAAGTTGAGGGCTTGACTTGAACCTAAATTGGCTAAGAGAATTCTTGATAAACTGAACTGTATGAGAATTCAAGTCTCCTTCAATCATTCAGTCTTTTTATTAACAGTAAACAGATACCAGAACTTGCCAAAAAAGAACTTATCCTTCCTATTAAAATCCTTGTAACTTAAATTTTATTCACTGTATTTGATTTCAACATGATTTTATATCACATACTTCATATTTAAGCAAAACAATTAGTTTAAGCCTTTGAAGGTACACTGCAACCTAAATAATTAGCTGGGTGACTTACATGAATGTCAAATTGTTGGGTTTTTATGCAGATGCCCGAAGAAGGAACTCCTTCAAAAACCAACCTGAACTCTGTAAATGGAATTTGCTCAAACTTGCAGAGGCCATACAAGATGCATTGCCTCTTCACAAATCTAAAGCTGCTCTAGAAGACTTGTAAGTGCACCGTTCAGTGTCCTGTCTATGTAGTTAGGCACTCTTGACAAGAGAATCCTATTCATGTAGTGCTCAGCCTTTGGCAAACCTTATCAGTGCTTGTCTCATTGTTTTCAGGTTGTAATTTGCTTCCAGACTTCAAAATCATGCATGCTTTTGTTCAAAGGGACATTAAGTTACTTTTAATTAGGTTTTAAGTGTAGTCCGTGTTTGAGCCTAGTACAAATGGTGGTCCATCAAGCCAGCTCTTATTTTTGGTCNTGGAAGATGAAGAAGCCAGTTCCTCTCAAACAGCAATTGCGGAACCCTCACCATCCTTAGCAGATCACAGAGAAAGAACTCTTTTTAACGTCTACGACAAACACGGAAAGTTTCTTCACAAACCACCGGAGGACTTGCTTAATATGCGGCTTTCATGATCCTCGTAAATTGTCGGTTTTGTCCTTAACAAGCCTGGAAACTGCTGTGTGTTCAGTGTGTTTCTCTCACTCAATCCAGAAACCAGCAGAACATGATGGCGTTGCGAAATCGCGGATGGGACGTAGAGGTCCGCTGTCATCTAAAAAACTGATAAAAAAATCTAGCTCACAACAAACAAATGAGCGAAGCTGGGCAAGACGGACTAATACTGGTTAATTTTACCTTTGAAAGGCCATCTGTTGCTTGAGCTAATGACGGTGCTAACAGAAACCATATAATTGGCAGTTTGTACCCGATGCGAAGGGTTTGGAATATAATAACTTCATGAGCTGCAGTTTTAT